ATTCATTCTTGTGGAAAATAACAGGCTCTATGAGAAGCACATTGAGCCTTCCTGAAAGTAGTCTTTCCAATTACCTTCCTTCCATCTGCTCTGGGCATCCCCTTCTAAAGAGCTAGTGCTTCTACTTGGAATCAACTACGTGATTCTACAAGTCCTTGGTGTTTCAGTGTCTACATTTCAAAGCAAAATCTGGGTCTAGAGAGTCTTCATGGCTAAGTTCTTGTTCTGTGTAAGCTTTTCCAGTGGCGAATGTGGAGAGGAAAGGATGTGTATGTGAGTGTGTTTGTGTGTGCATGCTTGTGTGCATTTTTAAATTCAAAGGATTTTACACAGATGAGTTTTTGTTTGCGCGAATGTATTGCAGCTTGTGTGTGCCTGGTACCCGAGGAGGCCAGGAGAGGGCCTCTAATGCCATGAAACTGGAGTTATAGTTGGCTGTGAGCAGCCAAGTAGGTGGTGGAAACTGAACCCAGGTTCTTTGCAAGAGCAGTAAGCACTCTTAATTGCTGCGCACCTGTGTGTACATTAAAAACAAAACAAACAAAACAACTCACTGGCGCGTGCTATTTCCAAGCCCAGTTCAGGAATGCAATTGTAGTTCACCATTATTACTCTGTGGTTGGTTTTCTGTCTTTTCCCCTCTGTGTTCAGCTGTCTTCCACTTCACCTCATTTCTCGTGGCTGTTCTTTATGAAGCCACTGTAGGCTGTGTTTTCCTTTCCTGACTCTTCATTTCCTCTTGGTTGTAAAGATAAGATGCATTCTTACCACAGTCAAAATGATTAACAGCAGGAACAGGACAATCAGTTCTGATGAAGCATCAGAAAAGAAGACCGCCTAGACGCTATATTTGGGGAGGACAATTAGCACAGCCCCTCTGGAGGTCTATGTGGAGTTTTCTCGGCAAACTGAACAGAGAGCCAGCTAAGACCCAGCCATACCCACTCTTGATAATGTACCTGAAGGCATCTAAATCTGCAGCCTGGAAGATATTTGCGCATTCTTTCTCACTGAAGCATAAGTTGCAATAGTCAAGTCCTGGCATCAGTCTAGGTGGCCATGAACACATCAAAGTGTGGATACACAAACAGGAGAGTTTTATCCAGCTGTAAAATAGAATAAAATTGTGCATTTGTAGGGAACGAAATGAAACTGGAGACCATCGAAAAAAAGGCTAATTCATAAAAGTAAATATTGCATGTTTTCTCTCACATCCAGAATGTGCATTAAAATCCCCTGTCTCTCTTTCTCTCTCTTTCTCTGTCTCTCTTACACACACACTCACTCACCCCAAGAAAAGAGGCAGGGGGCGTGTTTGGGAAAAAGTAAATGACAAATATAAAATAAAGGAAAAGGAAGAGAGGTGGGTGAAGTACAAGGCACACTTGAAGATGTCAAAGTAAAATCTATTATTTTGTGCAATGGCTATACATTATGAGTGATTTTTAAAAAGGGATAATCTATATTCAAAGCGACTGACAAGTCCTTATGTGAACATCTCAAACACGTGTTCTTGAAGCTTGATCACTGTTTCTTAAATAGGTTTCACAGACATTGTTTTCGTTGATTTCTTTTTTCGATACAAATCTTTCATTGTGTTCAAAGACACCCCAACTTGTTTCTGTAAACTGGATCTTAGTCACCAGTCTGCCCTGTGTACCTTTTTCAAAAGCATAGAGACTATCCTCTAAGGTTCTGGTGTCTTTGTTTTTCACTGTTGTGGATTGCTGAATCAAAGGAACTGAATTTGAGACAAGCTTAATGTTGTTTCTTGGCAGATTAATCATCTTTCTGGGCTCCTGGTTTGGTCTCATGGTTAATATTGAATGCCAACAGGTCCAAGAGCCTGTGGAGAGAAGGACTTGAAGACTGTGACATATTTGCATGCCTAGTTGACAAAGAATGAACCTGTGATGGCTAATATTGATTATCAACATGACAGATGTGGTCTCAAGCCCAGGACAAATGACAGAGGTCCCTGTTTAACATGTCAAAGTAAACATAGCTGCCCAGTTCTCCCAGCATCCCTCAGTCTCTACATGGTACAAGGTCCTTCTGGGCACAAGACGATTGAAAAAGAAAGAAAAAGGAAAGGATATACCTGCTTTTAGTTGTGGTGGAGGAGAGAGTTTGTTGTATATTAGAGAGCATAGAGAAGGCAAAGACATCTGGGTGAGTTCGAGTGGATGTGGCCCTGAGCCCTGTGAGGAGAGGGGGGAAGGGGAAGGAAGAAGGGGGGGGGAACCAAGTACAACAGCCATGAGGGAAAGAGTACAAAGCAAGCAAGCAGGCAAGCAAGGGCGGGTAACTAAAATGGCAGAAGAGCCTCTGGGGGAAGGGCAGCTCAGCCCACACACTGGAGAGTTCAGGGTTGAGGGTGGATATGCCACCCAAAAGGACCCTGTAGAAACTGAGGGATGCTGGGAGAGCCTGGCACCCAAGTCCACTTTGCTATGTCAAGTGACCTCAGTCCTTTGTCCCGGGTTTGATCTAACAACAGGTTGTAGAATCATCACAAGTGCCACAGCTTCAGCTGTCAACTTTGGCCTACCAGGGAAGGGGAACCTCAGCCAAGGAGTGTCCTCAATTGGATTGGCCCGGGAGCATATTGGTAGGGGAATCTCATGAGAACTGACTGATATAGGAGGACCCAGACACTGTATGAGGTACCATCCACGGAGAGTAGGTCTAGGCCGTGTAGGAAAGGCAGATGAGCAAGCCTGGAGATGCAAGCCAAGTAAACCATTTTCCACATGGTCTCTGCTTCATTTCCCACCTGGAGGTTGCTGCCTTGAGCTCCTGGCTTGCCTTCCCCTGATGACAGGCCATATTCTGTAAGCTGAAAAAAAAAAAAAACCCCTTTCCTCTAGACTTGTTTTTGGTCAGTGTTTCAACAGAGCCTCTGGGTATGTTCGAGTCAGGTTAGGTTGAGTGGATGGGACTACCCAACCCAACTATGGGCTGTACAGTTGCATGGGATATGGTCTGGCCCTGTCCCGTAGAGAACAAAACAAGAACACTAGCTGAACACCCCAGCATCCGTCTCTCTTTCTGCTTATTGATTGAGGATGCAAGTCTCAGGCTCCTGCCACCCTGACTTCCCCTCCACGAGGGAGTGTGTCCTTCAACTGTGAGCCAAAGTAAGCATTCCTTCCTTAGGGTTTGCCAGGTATTCTGTTACAGCAACAACTCAAGCACCCACTCCCAAGCACTCGGTCTCCCAAGTAGCTGGGATCACAGAGCTGTGTCACCCAGCCCATCTTCCTAAAACCTCAGTCTTTTTTTTTTTTTCTTCTCAATGTCGGTTGGGCTGACTGACTCAATTTTGATTCTGCATTTTAATTCCATGGGTATCTGGGCTTGGAAAGCAGCCCTGAGTGCAAGTCATATTGGGGTGGCCTAAACCCCAACCTGTGTCAGCAACTCTTCTCTAAAAGGCTGTAGTTCTAGCCAGCACTTGCTGGTTCCCTGGGAGCTCTCTTGTTCTCAAAACATCACATGCTCCCTTGTTCTTTCTCTTTTTTCCCACGCCTGCTGACACAACTCAGGCCTTCGGGTGGGTGGCAATTTGTCTTCATTACTATCTTGGGGTCAAGGGTGTCTTGTCTCTTAATTTTGTTACATAGTGCTCATGGGAGTTTGGTTATGCAATTTACTTACTTTTTCTGTGTGCAGATTTGGAAAAAAAAAAAAAAAAGTAAATCCTCTCATTCACTACAGCTTCTCTTCTACCCAGAATTCCCTGATTCCTTTTAGGAGTTTGGCTGTTTTACCATGGCACTTTATCTTTGCAGCTGGGCATCAGTTGACGGAAAGAAAACGGGAGCCAGCAATGTACTGTTTGTGTACACTCGGGTGTGTTTATTTGGGGCGGTGGCAGCTGCCGCCAGCGTTGCCATACACCTAAGAGCCCCCCCCCCCCCCCCCCCCCCCCCGTGTTATGACCAGAAATACTTTTCTCATGGGAAGTTTTTCATTTGGTTTGTGGTGTGGTCACTGTTTGTAGACTGTCTTTACTTTCAGGTGTATTTTTGTCTCTCTGAGGGACTACAAGATTGCTAATTACCCCAGGACAGGCTAGTCTGTCTGCAGGGTGTTTTCCTCACTGGAATCCACAGCTATTCTCATCCAGGAAAAGAAGACGCCTTCAGAGTGTTTGTGACTTGCTTTGTTTCTCTGGTCAGCAGAGGCCAGGTATATCCTGTATCATTTCTATATCAGGGTTCTTGAAGAATTTAATGTTGTCACCAATAAGCTATGTTGGTAATGCTGGACAATAGTGTGAAGTTGCTTTCAAATGAAGACCATTTTCTGTTAACTTTAATGGATGGGAAACTGACTCCTCCATCTTTTACATTTGCCACGAGTCGTCATAACGGCATGAAAACAGAATTCTGTGCAGATAAAGCTTATTATTCAATTTTATTTTAATGTGTATGTTACTCTATACTTTCCACTTAGCAGTGAGGTCTTCAAGTTCAGGAACCGAGCTGTATTTAAACATGCTAATATTTGAACATTTTCCACATGAAAGGCACAGTCTAATCTGTGATGTGAATGATTAGGAATGGATGCCAAAGTCCACGGGCACCAGTGCAAAAGGGATTGGGTGGCGTATCACAGGGCTTGGTGACGGCTGGAGTCCTTTTCCGAGAACTGAGTTCACAGTGCTTCTTAAGCACTGTGCAAACACCTGCAGCCGTTCGCGTCCACAACATGGCATGCATGTCGGCAAGTCTATGACACTTGGTTAGGTGTGCTTATGCAAAACTGTTTATTCATAAACATCAAGGGTATTTGTAAACTTCTTAGTGAATTACCTGAAGATAAATACGAACTTCCCATTTACTCTCAGGAAAACCCAAGAAAAGTGTTGCAAGAATGAATAGCCAAGCCTTTCATATAAAAAATATATATACTTTATTTTCAACCAGAAAGGTGCAGACTCTCAACAAATAAACTGCCCAAAAAACAGTCATAGTCAAAGAAGAAGCAAACACTTCCACATGGAAATCTGACCAGCTACCCAGAGCCAGCCACTTCTTAATAAAGGCCATTTGTTCACTGACAGTGAGGTTACCACATTTCCTACCAGAGATCTGACTTCTAAGACATTGCTCCTCCATCCGCACACCATCCGTTCTGATAGGCAGTCGCTCGGGTTACAGTTTTTGCCACTTCAGTATCCCCTTTGTTCTCAATCACAAACAAGTTTATGTCCTATCTGTGGTGTTTGGGATTCGAGGCTATCAGTTTAAAATACCAAAAGCATTTAAAACAAAAACAATAGGCACAAACAACTTTAAATTAACTTAGATAAACTGTACAAATATATATATATATATCCACAATATTTACAATATCAATAAAAATCTGGCTTGTTATAGGCAAATTCTCTTGCCACAAGCTGTCCAGTCTAATAGACAAGATTCTGACTCCAGACCACTGTTGGAATCAGAATGTCAGATCTGGGTCCAGTTGTTCTCAGTTAAAGAACAGCTGGACTCAGCTTCATCTAGAGGAGGACACACACCCAGCTGTTGCTAGAGCAGGTTCGTCTGCAAGCGTGCTATAATTTTCCTCCCCAATTACACTCCAAAGAGCAGGCACATTGCTGTTTTTAAAATGACCTCAGATAGTACCTGTCTTTCTCCTGGTGTCTCCACTGCCCCAGGAGACACGCCTCAGTATACATTCTGGCGCTGTGCGCTAATGAACAACTGTCAAGTCTAAACTGTCTTCAAACCAGTGTCTGAGATTGACAGACTGTTTGTATGACAATGGCATAATAGTTCTCACTTTGGTGGGAAGTCTTCTCCCCCAGCAGTTAGAAACACAGATTTAAATTAATGTGCTACTGTAAATCATTTTTTTTTATACAGAAAAATGAGATGTAACTCAGCTCAAGTTATAGTCTAATGAGTTCACGTCCCTTACGCCCTGGCTTTTATGCCATGTCTCCATACATCTTCCTGTAGTACAGGGACTCAAAGATGTCATTGTCCCCAGGACAGTTGTAATGGCAGGCACAGGTCTTGATGAACATCATGTTCTTCTTCATGATCTCGCCATCGGGGCATTTGAACTCCACGGGCAGGGTGGTGGTCCTGTGGGGGGTGCAGCATCGGCCGTCTGTGCACACCCCACAGAACTTAGCCCGGTAGCTCTTCACACTGGTGCAGCCAGACAGCTCAAACTTGACAGGCTTGGTGATTTTAGGGGTCCGGATGCACTTTTTGCCCTTCTAAGGAAGACAAGAAGAGAAACAGCCATTACTACAAGGACAGTGACCTTCCCCAACCCTTTGTAGTCTAGCTCTGTGTCATCTGATTTGTGTTTATATTCTGGGGAGAGACTGGAAGTTTCATTCTCCAGCTTTCCAAAAATAGCCATGGCCTCTTTTGGAGTGTCTTGAATCAACTAACATTGTAGAGAGTTTTGTAGTGGAAAACTGGCAGTTGCTGTTACACAATCTCTCATTCTAGCCAGACAGCTATGGTTAGATATTTTTGGAGATAACAGGCCCATAATAACAAGGGAGGCGAGACACCTAACTTTGGTTCTCTTCACCATCAATCTGTGAAAATGACTGACTAGGGGTAGAGTCCGTACCTTAATGTTTTCTTCCAGGTCAGCTTCACAAGGCCTGACCATGCAGAGGCGGCTCTGCTTCTCCAGCCTGCAGAAGGTGTTGTCATTGGTAACCCGGGTGGAGATGCCCATCCCACAGGTCTTAGAACAGGCGCTCCACTCTGTCGTCTGGACCAGGCAGTTGGCTCGCATCATAGTTGGGTCGGGGCCAAATGTGTCTTCCGGTCGGTAGGCTGTGAGAGCAGAACACAAGGTGAAACACCCGGGCAGGGCAATTTCCCCCTTCGCCCCGTGTACCTGGGCCTCGGCCCTGAGGTGGAGGAGAATGAACCACAGTAACTCAGATGAAGACAACTCACCAGCGAGGGCAGGGCCAACCATGGTGCGGTCCTTGGGCTCATCACACACCCACCCCTCACAGCACTTCCCTGGCAGCTTGACCCTTCTAGGGAAGGGGCAGTCAGGGCTGGGCAGGCGGACGTCCATGCTGCACAGAGGCACGCATCCCACGGCGCCGTCCAGGCAAGTGCATTGGTATTTGCAGCTGCTTTGGAAGGATTCACCGCTGCGGTACACCGAGCCCCCGAAGACGCAGGGCGCACCGTCTTTGGCTGCAGGAGAGGAAGAAAGATGGAGAGGTCAGGTGGAGAGCCCCAGAGATCAGAACAGCCTTATCCCCGTGCCACGCCAAGGTGGCGAGCTAGGGTCAGGATCGCAGGGGACTGGCTGCAAGCGGCTGCCAGCGAGGGCTCAGCAGGGTGAGGGCTGGAGTGGGGCTGCGGGTCTTACCCGTGCACACGCCGATCTTGCGGTTGGCTGGGGAGCCGAAGTCGCAGAAGAGGCCCTTGTGGGGGTCGCAGGGGTCGCGCTCCGTGCACAGCTCCCCCAGCTGCTTGGCGCAGACGCGGCAGCAGCCGCAGCCGTCCAGCACCAGGCTCACGCCGGCTGGGCAGCGCGGCGCCGGTTCGGCTGCGCACTGACACTGCGCGCTGCAGTCCTGGCCGGTGGCGGGCTGCGGGAAGGAAGGGGAGGGCGGTCAGTCTCCGGATCCCAGCTCGCTCTGCCCTCCCTCTGTCCCTCCCGTCGGTCCAGGAGCTTACCCGGGCGCAGAGGGCGAGGAGCACCAAGGCGAGGTGGACGGGACCGGCGACGGAGGCGAGCATGGTCGGGGCGCGGCGGGAGGACGCACGGCGGGGCGCAGAGGCGACAGGAGGCGCGGCCGGAGCCTGGACACGAACTCTGGGCGGAGGTTGGTGTCTGGACGCTCCGGGCGGTGGCGTCTGGGGCTGGTTGGCTGGGTTGGAGCAGCTGCCGTCTGGAGGAGGTCGGTCTCCTGGGGTCGGAGTTGGAGTGGCTCTGGCTGCCTCTTCGTGGAGGGAAGAGTTGTGTGAGGTTGGGCGGGCGGCGCTGCCTTTTATACGCTCCCGGCGGGCCGGCTCGCCAAAGAACTGAATGGAGTCCCACACAAACAGGGACATTCCTTGCATTCCTCCCCACCTTCCTGCCTCATCAACTCACACCGGATTGATCCTGACCCCTTGACACTCCGCATTCCTCCGTCTGAAAAAGCTGGCACACTTCAGTCCACCAGAAGAAAAAAAAAAAGCGCTGTGTGTTTCCAGCACAACACCAAGAAGTATTTTTTTTCCCCCCTCCATATCCTCTTAGCACCGCTCCTGATAAAATACGACCTCGAAATATATGGACAAGGATTATTTCTCGCATCTTTTCTTCTTAGAAATTGCTTAGCCAGCTCCAATCACTGACAAGAAAACTTCTCGGGACTCACGTAGCTGAAGAGGCAAACATCACGGACCCCTAGAAAATCCAAAAATATTTCTTTTTCATTGTTTTGGATTTTTTTTTTTCTTTAAGGGGCTGTAGTTTCTTGGAGTTCTACTGAGAGTAAAACGGTGCTTATAGCCATCTGAAACCCCCCCCCCCATCTCAAGATGCTTATGGGTAAAACCCTAAATCCTATATCTAAAAGACAGGCATTTAATCTTTGGTCAAGATAACGGTTTTCAGAGAGAGAGAGAGAGAGAGAGAGAGAGAGAGAGAGAACAAAAACAGGGCTCTGGGTAAGGAAGCAGGTTCTTGAGGGAGATTTTTACCCCTCTTTGTAAGGACTTGTGGTTTTGCAGGTCTAGGGATAGAAGGGAATGACTGGGCATCTAGTTTCTATAAAAACAAGCCTATGATTTCAGAGCGAGAGGCTATGCGTTTGGTAGGTAGGTATCAGGACAGGAACACAGGGTGGGAGAAGGAAAAAGCTGAAGGAGGCCAGGGGGGCGGTAAAGTTCCAACATTTTAAAGATGGCTGTATTTGAGTTCCAGACTTGGATTTTACTAATCCTCTAACCCATTATCTAAAGATGCTGATGGGGCTTGCATTGTTTTGAAGTAAAGCATTTGTTTATATAAGAGCAAAAACTATAAACGGTCATATCTAGTTATAACCCAGCTACAAGCTAAGTGTCAGTGCATAATAAATATTTCAATGGCTTCCCCAAGTGTCTACAAACAGTGATGGAGCCCCTTACTGCCCCAGTAGTTTGCCACCTAGGGGAGGAAGGGCAGTCAAGGGAAGAGCAGGTTTGTTCCCTGCTTGTGTGTTGATGCTAAATTTAAACAATGTACTTTAGCTTTTCTCTGTTTCCTAACACTGCTGTCTAGCGTCAGTAGGGAGCTTCTGGGACCAAATGCTACATCCTTGCCATGGTGGTACCCAAGGACGCCTTCCTCTCGTGGGTGCTTCTGAATGTAAGTTTAAGGTATGCATAAATGCAAAGACTAATTTTGGAAACAGCATATTTATAATATGAAAACAGCCTGTTTAAATTGGCCAGTTTTTTTTTTTTTAATGTTCAATTCATTCATGGACAAATAGCTGGGGTTGGCCATGTGTGTGTGTGTGTGTGGGGGGTAACCACTTTAACTTTAGGCAGCTGACCGCATCATCTGCTCACAATTATTTCCTTAAGCCAGCCCCATGCTGTACATTGAAGTTGCTTGTCAACAGTGACCGGTGTGAGTGGCTTGGAGTGTGAGTAGCCGCTGAAGTGGAGGAAGGATTTTCATCATTGTCATTTAATGTTCTTTCCAAACATTCCCCAAAGAGGCCTGGAAGTTCCTATTTAAAGAAAGAACATTCCAAGTTATGCGAATAGCCACATGTCTGTGAAGGGCAACTTGGCCTCCAACTTTTGCTTCCCTCATTGATGATTTTTTTTTAAAGTCCAAAATATGTGGGAAGCCACAGTGAAATCTTTCAAGTCCTAAACTCCCAATTATATCTACCACCAATGGTCAGAAAGGTGGGATGGGTGAGGAAGGGCAGGAATGTGAAGGGTGAGCCTCGTCTGAGGTGGGCTGTGGGCTCTGAGGTGAGCTCTCTAGCTCGCAATGTGATGAGGAGAGACAGGAGAGAAGTAGGAGTGGTCTTTGAAACCACAGGACCATCAGAGAGAGCCACCAATGGCTTTCTGCATACAGGGAGCAGGCTCAGTTACAGGGGTAGGTGGCTGGGCTTTTTATAATTGAGTAACTTGGGCTGTGTTCTAATGGCAGTTCTAGAACTGCCATTCACAAATCTCAGGAAAGTCGCAAGGAGGAGCCGTGCTCCAAGCTCTCTTTTATCAAACGGAGATGAGAAGTTTCAGTTTCATAGTGAGGATTAATCATGTGAAATTTTTCTTGTCACTTTGCACTTTAATCTTAATTTTCATCCCTCTTTTTCCTTCCTTCACCTCTCTCTTTCATCCTTTGCCTTCCTTCCTTCCCCGTTCTTGTCCTCCCAACCAGAGAATATTACCATTCCTGCATTGCTATTAAAAAGATGCCAGCATCATAACACTTGGTTTTACCATAAAATTCACACCTCAACTTCTCAGTAAATCCACAGTTAGTTCCAAATGGATGGTTTTAATATTAACTAAGAGGAGATAGCCTATTGAAATGTACAACCTATATAAAAATCTCCAAATATAGCGTGCATTTGAAATGTAGTTGGAAGCTTTATGATCGAGACATTCCACAGGGTGGAGGGAAAAAAAAAGACTATTTCTATACAAATCACAGAGAAGAAAAGGGACAGGGGAGGAGAGAGAGGGAGTGGTGGGTGGCAGAGGACATCCAAGACATTCACAGCCTGGAAAGTATGTTTTTATTATGATACAGACCACCAAGTGCCAGGAAATCCAGAGGGAAGGAAGGACTGACACTCTGCTCAGTTCATGCCATGGCACCTGAATTCTTACACTATTACAAGTGACTCAGCAAACGTTTGAGTGCATCTGGGCGGTAAGGAGAAAAGAGTAGCTTCTTACAACCTCATCCAACTCTCCCCTGTCCCAACCTTTTTGATGGACAGCAGGTCAGAAATGGGAGAGAAAAATCCTTGAAACTGCCGGCTGGAAAAAGATGCTCATCCTGCAGGGTTCAGTCAGTGACTTTTTTAGGAGAGCATTTCCACCCTGACCCCCCCCCCCCCCCAAGACTAAGGACTCACTAAGGTGGCCACAGGAGGTATGTTTGGATGACATGGCTCATCCTGTATGCAGGTCTTCTGGTTCAGTCTTGTACAATGTTTTCTGGTCTCTCCCCCCAAACCCCCCATAAAGAGGTTACTTGAGCAGGTATCAGACAGAGAGAGAACCTGGCGGGACCACAGCAAAGTGGCCAGACTTGGAGCGTTTGTGTACTTAACGAAGGAATCTTGCACACTTTCAATTTCCAGTTGTCGACATTTTCTTATAAGGGCAAGCAAAGAAGTCAGTGCCAGCCCTCAGAGAGGAAATCAAAAGTCCCAGGGAAACATAAGGGAGGAATGAGACTCAGAGCCAAAACCCATAAGCAATGCATACACTGAGCTTATAGGAAGTCTGTCCCTATCCCTATAAGGGCATCTGGGTGCTTTGTCCTGTGATGGGTAGGGAATGGGCTTCCCAGTGTGTCTGGCATGACCTAGGTTCAGTCATGTAAATGAATTCCGCCAGAAAAGGAGTGGAGGGGCAGGAGGAGTATGCCAGTCTTTTTTGAAAAATAGTAATAAATATTATTTTAAAACCCTCAGGGACCCTGGCTTGGTTTCCACGACCTTCTATTTGCTTCAGATGAAGTTTAAAGAGAGTGCCCTCTCTCCGGGAGTTTGAAGTGGGAAGGAAGCATGGATGTTTGCTATGGAAATTACATCCATTGCTTTCCTGCTTTTTCTTCTTTTATAATGAATTCTCTAACTTTCTTAGGATATTTTCGGATGCAAAAGTATTGGTCAGAAGGCAATTGCTCCGTGTGGTTTGTTTTACGTTGGCCTGCCCATTTCCTCGCTTGAACTTGGAGCCTCTGGTAGAGGAGGAAGGGGAGGATACTTTGTGTCTTAATGAGGTACTTCCCTCACTTAGCAGTTGTCTCTGTTAGTTTAACTGGATTTAGCTGACTTAGGAGCCGGTCCTGACTCTGGGCCTTTGTTGACAGGAGGTGGCGCTAGAGAGCACAAGGCTGCTAGGACCCAGCTTTCTCTAACTGGTGGTGAAGTCAAATATAATTGAGAATCTGGGAGTATTTGACACCATTTTTCCAATCGAACTGAGTGCAATATGAAATGTTACATGTTACGTAAATCTCAAAAGGGAGATTCTCATTTATTAAAATGTGTAGTTTGGAGGGACTAATAAATAAATTTAGGTGGAGAGAATTGTGATAGAGTATTTATTCCCAAGGAATGAGAATAAAGGAAAGGGCAATGAAAAAATTCGCTGTGAACTAGGCAGAAACATACCCCAGAATTTTGGAGGAGAGTGGGATAAATTTAGATAGAATCCCTCAGAACTGTGCTCTCATCTGAGCCTGCTGCTTGAGTCCTGGTCCTGCAATGCCAGGGGTCTCAGAACTGATTCAAGAAAATCACCAGAGAGAAACCAGAGGAAAGGTGAGGAGTCTGAAGGTAGGAGTTTCAGGCCTGACGTTTACCAGCCCTGGGGACCGTTCCCTTTGTGTGAGTGCCTGTGGGGAGTCATATGTTAGAAGCTGAGCACACCAAATAAGGCTTTTAGAGAAGGTATCTTATCTCCTAAATCAAAGCTATTACCATATGTAAAGAAGAAAATAGCATTCTGCTTAGACACTCGGTGTATCAGATTCTAAGTAGGTGAAGTGGCGCCTTGTGCTTTGTTCCATTTGATATTCAAACACAGATCTTATTTGATCAATTTAGCTAGAATACTCCTTAGGGCCCAGGGTGCGTGGATTAGATAGTACACATTTATCTACAATGCACTTTAGTTATGCTGGTACTTTAGTTTTGTTTTGTGACAGAGTCTGGCTATATAGCCCAGGCTGGCCTTGAACTATTGTTGATCCCCTGGCTGTCGCCTCCAGA